TATATAAAAATAATTAAAAATCTAAAATTAATAAAAGGTACCATTAACTAATATTTATTTTATTAATAATTTATTAAACGATAAATTAAATATTTAATAATTAATAAATAACAATAATAAAAAGAACGTCGAAGTAAACTTAAATTTATTTTTGTAATTAACATGTTCTTAATTATATCAATAATTAGTTTTACTATTATTAATTATCAGTTTTACAGTGACGTAGGAAATTTTGTGATAATATATTATAAGGAATTTGATAAATTTCATGAAAATATCGACTTAATTTTTACAATAATTGCAAATATGTATATGCAATAAACGTAAATTATTCTACAACAAATCTTTTTTTATAAAAACTCAAAATAAAATTGCATTACATTATTATCATGCTAAATTGATTGAAAAAATCAGTTGAGCTCGATTTTTTAATGTATTTTTAGCATGTACAAAAAATGATGTAACCTGTTAAAATTTTGCCTATTAATCATTAATTTCATATTTTTGTTACTAAACATTTTTGTGCCTTATATTAAATAATAATGATAAAATAATAATGATAAAATATTATTGATAATATCGATAAATTATAATTTAGGCAACCGATAAACATTCAGGAATTCATTAAAGCTACATTAAAATATCTCTTATAATTATGTCAATTTTATGTCAACTTTAATATTCAAGTCAACTTTAATATGCAAATTGTATCATTTTTTATCCGATTTTCTGTTTAAGTATTTCGACACAGTCATAATATAAACAACATTCTTTCGACTTCTTATGAATAAGCAATAAGTACTTTCCTTTTTCGCTCTCATCTTTTATTCTTAAACGTTATTCCTGTCGTGACCGAGCATTCTATTCCCAGGCGCTATTCCCGACTTGGATTGCCTCTACCCTCGCGGCATATCTAGATACACTTACCAGTCAATATTAATGTCTTTATTAACGATGATATATTTCTCTCTCGGCTTCGCGCATCGCTAATCACGGTAGGATACAAGGAGAAAATGAAAAGTAGCTAGTTACTATACGTAATGTAAGATTCCGATAAAAAGTTATCATAACGTTATCTAAAAGACCGTATTACATAAATGCGTGATATCCCCTGCTTCTGAATCAGTTAATTAAGTAGCCTTGGTGTATGTCACGCATCGTATATTATGTCATACATTAAATCATTGTCACTGACATATATGGCATGACACATATCACTGCCATTTTAATGCGAGCAAGTACGAGCTCACTCCTTTGTATTATTCTGTGTAAGGTAAACTTACTACATTTTGACTGTTCGCGAGTTCTTTCGCTCAGTCAGTCAGTTTCCATCTTTGTTTTCAACCTTAAAGAATTACGTGTTCAAGAGCTGTGAAAACGCAAGTGCGGTAAAAAAAACGCAACATATAAATACGCGGACGCGCCACGTATGATCATATTGCGCCCATTAACATGGCGAAAAGTTGCTACCCGGAAAGCAAGGGAGCAGCAACCACGAAGCCTTTAAGCCACGGTGCACGGAAGTTTCCCCACTGATCCTCAGTGCTAGGCGAGTTTAAGCCCTGGGATTCTGGAGTTACTGCCATCATGGCACACCATGCACCACTGCCTATAGGTATAAGTATAGCTTCTAGCATGCGAGCACAGAGTGTACTTGTAGCCGGAGCGCCTAGCGTTTCATTCGACCTCTTTTTCTCTCTCGTTGCCTCCGCTTTCGCCCATCCCCTGTTGCGAACCCCTTCTACAACTGTTCCCTCCCGCATCCCTCGCGCTTCCCCCTCGCGGCTCTCCTTCTTTCTCTGTCTCTTTGTCGCGCTCTAACTTCGTCTACCTCCCTTTCAGAGCACGCTTCCATTGCTGAGTCGTGCAACCACGATCTAGTGCATCCCTATCGCGACAACGATCGTTCTCCGGACCACGGTAGCTGATATTTATGGCTTTTGCGGCGCGATGTTGAAGTAGTTAAATTGCTGATATTAAATGAGAAGTCCGCGAGAAATTGTTCGCCCAGGATAACGCCGCACCCGCAAGGATTTGCGGGATTTCGGATGAGCATCTCGATAGATGTTCAATAGATATATAGTGTCTTTCTGCAATTGAATTATGCTAATGTCAATACCAGTATTTTCTGTGAAACATGTGTGAAGATTACTTCAATTAAGACACTAGAATTGCATAAACAGATAAAGTTAAAAACAAAAATAAAAATAGTTTTAAAATCAAATTATGGCATTTTATTTTTTTGTATAATTTATCATCAATCTGAGGTAAAAATATTATAAAAAGTAAAAATATTAATAACAGTAAAAATTAAATATATTTTTCTAATAATTTTATAAAAATTTTTAATTTTTAATTAAGACTTTTATGCTAGCATTATTATGAAAAATTAAAAGTTTCTTTTCAAGAGTCAAGAAAATCAAACACCAAAATAATATATCATTAAATGTAACATTGAGGAGATCAGTAGTTAAAGCAAGTTAGCTCAATTATATGAGATATTATTAGCCTATTGTAACCGTTACTCTTTGTAAACGTTCTAAGTAATTTTCAATTCAATTTCCTTTATAATCATATTGTAAATAAGA